AAAAAAAAAAAAAAGGAGAAAATATGGAARCCAGGCGTGGTGGAGTGTGCTTGTAATCCCAGTGACTCAGGAGGCTGAGACAGAAGGATCACAAGTTCAAAGCCAAGTCTTAGTGAGGCTCTGAGCAATTTAAGGAGACCCTATCTCAAAGTTAAAATTTTTTAAAAATGGGGGTGGGAGGTGGCTGTGAATGTAGCCCAGTGGTAAACGCCCCTGGATTYAATCCCTTGTACGAAAAAGAAAACAAGAAAAGATATGCAGTGGAACTGTGGAATGGAAACCCTAACAGCTTTTGATGAGGGTAGAAAAATAGCCCTTAGATGAAAGAAGATGATGTCAAAAATAAATTTAATTCAGCCACCTTATCTGCAAACAGCTGGCCTTGAGAATTTGTATTTTGTATTTTGGAATGGAGCTTCTGTTCAAAACGCTTCAGAAGTCCATGAAAATAACAAAAGTACTTTGTCTTCAAACAAAGTATATGTTCTTGAGTATCTTATCTTCTCTTTTTTAATCAATCCATGTCTTTTTCTTCATGGATAGAGAGCGCGTTGGGTTTGTTTCCGCTTCTTTAATGGGAAAAGTATTCTCTCTCTCGTTGCTCTCCTTAGTTTTACCTATACAAAGAATCTGCAATAGAATACCAATGTACCATGTCTAGCACTGCACTAATTAAATAACCCTTTCCTAGGTGGTAGTGATTACACTTCTCTTGAAAGTCTTCTCAACCAGATAGATAGGGAAATTCTGTACCGGRGATTGAACCCAAGGCCTTCCTGCTGATCTACATCTCCAGTCCTTCAGAAACAGGATCTCATTCAACTGCCCTGGCTGGTCTCCTCCCATCTCAGACTCCCCAGAAAATGGGATTACAGCGTGCTATCGCCATGCCGGGCCTTATTTTATATTGACATCCTATTTCTAGACTCTTGTGAATCAACTCGTAGTAGTTCTGGAAATAGAAATGTAAGCTGAAAATGTATTAATACTACAGACTATTGGTATGTGAGTATTACGGTCCCCCACGCCTACCCCTGAAGGGGACTGAACCCAAGCCCTAGATCTTGGCTGTATTAAACCAGGCTACAGATTGTTTAAAAAAAAAAAAAAAAAAAAAAAAAGCTGCTGATGGCGGAAGTGGCGCTGGCTTGTCATTCCAGTTATTCCGCGGCTTGCTACCTTCCTCAGTTCTCCGGCTATCAGCTCCACAGTGAGGCCACGTATCCTCACTAGAGTGATTCAAGATTTTTCCTCACAACTTAACTGGGGAACCTGGTAGGACCCCAGCACTGAACTGGGGCTCAAGAGAGATGTCTCCCACTTTCTTCACACCCTGCCCGCCCACCAGCAACCCGTCGGGAAGAACTACTCCGCTCGCACCCTTTCCGCSAGCTTCCTTTCGCCTACTCGTTGGCCGCCCCGCCTCCCTCTTTTCCCGCCCAGGTCCCGGGMGTCCAGGAAGGGGCGTGGCCCACAGGGGTTCTCGCGTTACGGAAAGAAGGCATTTCCGGCTCCGGTACCATGGCCGACTCGTGTCCTGAAGGTGTGTCGGCCGCCTTGGGCGGGAAGAGGCAACAGTTCGGCAGCCGGTTCTTGAGCGACCCAGCGCGCGTCTTCCACCACAATGCCTGGTAACTGCCCTGCCCCTCGTCCGGCCTGCGGCTCGCCCCCGTCCCGCCKCTCCGAGCGCTTGGAGAAGCCCCTGACCACAGGCCACTAGTACAACTGCCCTGGCCGTGGCGCGCTCCTCCCGGGAAGACGGGCTTCCCGGCCGGCGACTGACCCTGCCCGCAGCTGAGATGAGAGGCCCCTAAGCTGCCTGTTTGGTTTTCCCAGGGACGATGTGGAGTGGTCGGAAGAGCAGGCCGCGGCGGCAGAGAGGAAAGTGCAGGAGAACAGCTCTCAGCGGGTGTGCCCAGAGAAACAAGGTGCGCCCGGGCWGGCGTCGGTGGTTGGTATCTCAGCCAGTGTGCTAGAGAACGTGCCTTGCGGAGAGGCCAGCGAACCGCAGCTGCCAAGGTCCTTGGTTACTGGCCTGATGAAGAACTCGGGAGTAGACGGGAGGGGGAGGGAGGAACAAGAAGGGAAAAGGCGCTTTTTAACCTAGCCTTATTGGGGGCATAGAGCATGTTAACTTTAGGGTTTCTTGTGGTTTTTTTTTTTTTACTTGGGGGAGGACAACTTATTCTAGCAATTGAGTTTTTAACCTTGTTGACTAGTACTATATTGATGTGGTTAATCTTTGGAAACTATATATAGTACATTATCTTAGTGAATGTACTTTCTTCATGATTTACATGGTGCTTGAGAGTTGCCATTGAAGCTAGATTTAAGTGAACAGATTTTAAATATTGTTGGGAAGGAGTAACAGCTAGTATTTATGTATCTTTTTTTTTAAGAGAGAGAATTTTTTTAATATTTATTTTTTAGTTTTCGGCGGATACAACATCTTTGTTTGTATGTGGTGCTGAGGATCGAACCTGTGCCTTAGGCAGCCAGGCGAGCGCGCTACCACTTGAGCCACATCCCCAGCCCTGTATCTTTTCCTTATGGGATGGGTTTGAGGACTTAGAGCTTCTCAAGGAAAGAYGCATGAAGAAGAATACAGAAGTCTGGCCAAGGGAAAACAGGTCCCTCCTTGGAGAGTAGGCAAAATTAACCTAGAGRCTAGTTGGTCCTATGTCCTAAGAGACAATTGATGGTCCAACTAGAAATTTGAGAGTAATGCCCACTAAAAGAGTTCTGTACAATAATAAAAATATTCCAATTACAAATTATTCACCCAGCATARTTTGACAGGCTAGGTAAAGCAAGGTAGAGTTAAAGGGATTTTGAAAATCAKGTAGTACACTTCATCTTTATACAGTTACAGAAAGTTTAGCTGAGTGCAGCAGTGTGCACCTGTTATCCCACTGCTTAGGAGGATCACTTGAGCCCAGGAGTTCAAGGCCAACCTGGGAAACATAGGAAGATCCTGTCTCAAAAAGAAGGGGGCGGGAAAGAAGCTTGGACTACAGGACATTAAGTGTTTTCCCAGAGGTAAGCTGTCAGTAATATAAGTGAAGGGACTAAAATCCAATTCCTTACTTTAAAAAAAAAAAAAAAAAACTCCCTACACAAGTTGGGACYTTGTATTGGCAAAGAAGTAAACAAATCTGAGACTGCCTTAATCACTTTAAATGTTTTTAACTTTTTCTTTTTTGTCTTGCAACCTATATTGGCCTCAAACTTGCAATCCTTCTTCCTTAGCCTCCTGAGTAGCTGGGATTACAGGCATGAGCCACCATGCCCAGCTTCAGTYCACATTTCTTCCTTTAGTCTCTTTGGTTCCTCAAAACCCTTCTCACCTACAGACATTTTTATRTTGTCTATTTTGAGCCTTGTTTCATTTTTAGTTACTAGTAATATTGAATTCGTATCTGGACTTCACATTCTAAAGAACCAGAGAGAGAGTGACATATTTAACAAAGATCTGCTGATTACATAGGTAGCCATTGAGTTTACTTGAACAACCCAAGATCCTGGGACATTTAGTTTGTAAAATAAAATATTTAGAGGGGAAAGTAGCTGCCCACAAATACTAAAAAGTTGTTATTTTGGCCCCAAGAAACAATAGGATCTTTTTACTAAAAGTGATTGGACAGATATTTGCTTGTGTGTGTGTGTGATGCTAGGGATTTGCTTAATTTTAGAATTTTCCAATACTCAGTAGCCATCCAGAGACATGAAAGGAGAATGATAGGTAGGAAGTTCCCTAATTAATTAACAGAAATTAAACTCCCTGGGAATGACAAATCAGGGGGATTTGGGTATAATAATAACAGAACTAAATTACCTCGAGTGCCTTCAGCTCTGTGACTATGGCTCTACGTGTGGTTACTTTTAGTGTAAAATGATAATTAGTGAAGCAGGATAATTGACATTAGATAATATAAAATATTTGAGACCTGACTCAAAATTCTTTCTTGACTCTTTACAGTTGATTATGAAGTCAATGCCCATAAATACTGGAATGACTTCTACAAAATTCATGAAAATGGATTTTTCAAGGATAGACACTGGCTTTTTACTGAATTCCCCGAACTGGCACCTAGCCAAAATCAAAATCACTTGAAGGATTTAATGTTGGAGAACAAAAGGAATGAAATCTCTGCATGTAGAAGCAGTGAAGATGGACATGGATTAACAGTGGGAGAACAACACAAGTGTTTTTCTAGCACCCTTGAACATACAGCACAGGTGTTTTCTGTGGAGGAGACTGTAACACAGAAACTCAGTCACCTGGAAATTTGTGCTGATGAGTTTCCTGGATCCTCAGCCACTTACCGAATACTTGAGGTAACTTCCTTTAGGTTCCTGTTAGTGGACTTAGTGAAGCTGTCACATTGTGTACACAAAATAAAATAGAAAGCCTTACCACAAAAATGACTCTTATCTGATGAAGTTGACTAAACTTGACCCTTATATTGGCCTGGAATTGCCTGTATTTTTTGAACTGGAAAGATGTTTAGATGGGTATTATAATAGAATTTCACAACAAAGGAAATATACAGTCCACTGAAAGCTAATTCTGGAGCTGGTTGGCCTTGCAGTTGAGTCCTGTGGTGTGACTTTGTGTGTGTGTGTATGTTGCTAGGGACTGAACCCAAGGCCTGTACAAGTTAGGCAAGTGCTTTACCACTGAGCTACACCCCTACCCCCTCTCTGGAGAGATTTTGGACAAGTTCCTGTGCTTCCCAGAGTGTTGGGATTTGTTGCCTCTTGGCCTCATTGTTAGGAAGATTGAGATAATGTACATAAACATACCAGAATAGTGTCTGGCATGTAGTAAGCCCTTAGTATCAGTATATGCTTGCTGTTTTTATTACCACAGGCAGTGCTGTATTTAGGACAAAGTTAATAATGTATCCTTTTTGTAGTTTTCAATTCAGTCTGTTTTTCCAGTAATASTACAGTGGAACTCAGTAGGAAAATATTTTTATCGATGGGACATTTGCTAGGACTTAAGAAGTAAAGATAGCAAGATGTGATGATACAAGCCTGTAATCCCAGCTATTAGGGAGCCTAAGGTAGGAGAATCAGAAGTTAAAGGCCATCTAGGGTAACTTAAAAATAATTGTTTTAAAATAAAAGGATCAGGGGATATATCTCACTGGTAGAACACTTGCCTAACATTCATGAAACCCCAAGTTCCATTCCTAATACTGTTAAAAAATAAATAAGGTAGCCTATGCCCATATTCTAAACCAGCTCCCTTCTAATGAAAGCCCTTCTAATAAAATGTCTTTTATGGCTACATCTTTAAGAAGATCAAGATTAAATAATGTAAYGGGTACTGTTAAGCTCTAGTCACTATACCTTCCCTTGTACAATTAGCAAAGTTATTTATTRATTATTTAGCTTTAGAGAGTTAATGGTTTTGTGAATATTATTAATAGCTTCTATGACTAATAGCTCATTTCTATCTCTAGGTTGGTTGTGGTGTGGGAAATACAGTCTTTCCAATYTTACAAACTAACAAGTAAGTGTATTGTCAAGTGTAACTATATGGCAGCAAAGAGGACAAAGGTTGGAGGTCCCTTGTTCTTTTAGAACTCTTATTGTATTAAACTGTCAGCAATGGTTATCCAGAAACATGGATTACAAGGAATTTAGGTTTCAACATTCTCCATTTGTGAGTTGTTTMATTTAATTTGATGTGTAAGCTACCTTTGTCATGGGGGAAACTAGATTTAAAAACCTGTTATAGTGTTAATATATAGTGCTTTCTAAGATGCTTAGAACATGTTCATTAATCTATTTCTCTGCCTTCCTGACCTCTGTAACAATCACTAGATTATCATTAATCCCTGAGTAGAGTTGAGAAAGCTGACCTATCTCCATTTCTGATATAAACTCAAATATTGCTGTACTCAGAACAATTCTCACACAAGATGTGTGTGCTGTTTTCCACATACTGACCAAATCTCCAACTCCAGCTGTGTTCTTGTAATTCAATTCTGATACTGTCTACCTGGAGTTAGCGTCAGATTCCAAAAGACTGCACCCCCCACTTCAAATGCCAGTTGCAAATATGGGCTTTCCACATTTTTTCCTGTGCRTTATGAATCTGGGAACCCACAACATCCTCCTTGGTTTTGGTAATTTCTTAGAGTAGATCACAGAACTCGGGGAAATAYTTTATTTACATTTACCTGTTCACTATAAAAGATATTATAAAGTGTACAGATGTACAGCCAAATGAAGACATATAGGGTGAGACCTGAAAATCCTGAGTTTCAGAACAGCCCCAATGGAATTATGGGATGTATCTCTTCCTCCCATACACCCCCAGCCTGTGGATGTGTTCACCAACCCAGTAGCTCAGCAAGAATCATCCCCACCTACCCTCCATCAGGAATCTTTATAGAGCTTAATATCCTTCCCCTATTCCCTTCCTGGCAGGTTGGTAGGGAGCTGAAAGTTAGA